TCTTTTACCTTAGAGAGGAAAATACAATTGACAAAAATGTCAAATTCCAGAATAGCAGGAAATGGTCCTCCACCTTTGGTGTTCACACGGGTCCACTTTGTTACACATTCACTGAAAAACAAACATCTTATTAGGATTCAGTTGTAKTAAGGTTAATATACTGATCCCTAAAAATGTATTCTTAGAATTGACAAATTTCAGCAATTGTTTTATTTTAAAAACACTTTCCAGCTTGTTYGACGTAGCAACGGTAAATATAGRGACTARGTAGAACAATGAATGTGGGATCARGGTTTTACTTTTGTTAAGACAAAATTACTKGAGTTAATGATTCCCAGCTTAGTGTCAGACTTTGCATGACCAAGGATGGCRTGTTCTCCAAAACACTGCATATAAAGAGAGAGAGAGAGAGAAACATGTGTATGTACAGGTATATGTCTGCAGACAGAGTATTACAATTTCTTATTATCTTATTAAATAGTGTTACAGAGTTTTTTCCTTTTTTTACATCTGCATCCACTCTCCTATATGCCCACCCCCTTGCACACACACCACACACACGCACTGCCTTAAACATGCTCAACTTAATTTCGATTTCAGTAAAAACATGCTCATTTGAAAATTTCGTCTTTCCCTTAAAACCTTTAAAAAAAATTCCCCAGTTAAATTGTATGCATTCGCATATTTGCGATTTGAAGTTGCATAGTAACACGCTGAGAAAACCCCATGGAGTAACCTTAATGCTGGGAAGTGAAGGCCCTATCAAAAAGTTTACAATGTGAACAAGTTTTTTCTTACTATGATATTGAAGGACAAAAAAAATTCAGCTGTATCCCGTATTGTAAAACAGATTGTTGATGAAACAGTTATGAACAAAAAAGGATTGCAGAAAGGAACTACTCAAACTCTCATAAGGACAAAACAGAGAAAATCGCTAGCATGAAGGAGATTTGGAAATGTTCTTAAATTAGCATAAAATTTGGCAACCTATGCTTTAAATTTTTTCAAAACTTATTAATTAGTTTGAGAAGCCATATCAAGCACTTGAAAGAGTAACTAATTTCCATAATCTATTCTTCCTTTTATTGAAGATAAAAAGCAATTAATGTGCAAACATTGGTGCTGTACCAAAAGTCAGAATATTAAAACATTTTGATATAAATTCCATAGTTTTACCCTTTTGTTTAAGGTATGTCAAACTATAAAAGAGGAATGGACACTGTGCAGCATTAATAAATATGCAACAAATGAGAAAAGGTTTAAAGGTTACACTTATAAAATAATTTCTTAGGTGCACTGCAATCCTTTTCTCATCTTTCACTTTATTTTGAAAATGTTAAAAAAAAAGCAATTGCATAATTCTCGGTAGAAAGAAAAGGCAATAAGCAACAAGGAACAGATTATTCTTCRTAATTTAATACATTTTCAAAAGAGAGAGAGCATTTGCAAGGCAGGTTCTAAACTGCACCAYTGATACCTTTGTGTAATGCATATTTGGATGGTTTCTCCAATCTTATATGCATCTGGCAGCTACAGAGCTGAAAGAATAAATCTAATCAAAAAATATGCACAATAGAAAAAGAAAGAAAACAGAAAGCCCAGTCCAATATACATGTGCGAATCAAACAGTGACTTGAAACTTAACCTCATACAATTTAAACCATGAAACACAAAGTTGTCTCCACTCTTTCTTAGATCGACAAACACAATAAATAATTATATGACTTACATGTATATTTACTGGCTACATGTAGTAAGAAAATATCAAAATGGTCAATGYATGTTTACAAGTGAATGCTTATAGGAATTAAAAAGCAGAGCAGATAACGTATTTACTGTAAAAGGTAAAGGTAATTTATTTTACTTGATAGCGCAGAGAGCAATTGTCCAATTATTCCGCAAGCGAGGGGTTTATACATAAAGCACTTAATAGTGTGCTCTTTACCCCCATCAGACTATCGCTGCTACACTGAACAGGGAAAAGTTGAAACAGATTTGGAGATCCTGAGAATCAAMCTTTGGACCTCTAGGTCTGAAGGCCGCACACTTGCTGAGCTAAGCCTGCTCCTGTTGCATTGATCTTAAATGGGGAAAAACGTCCAATTGCTTATCACTGTTTATTGCTATGTGCTGATTGCAAGACAAAAGTCACAGCAGGGAAATCAGGCAATACACTGCCTTCAATCAGAGTATGTAAAAGTACCGAACAATTATTTGATTATCAGTCTCCTTTTAGATGATGTTTTCTCAGGCAGTGTGTAGCAATAAAAACAGTGGGATGTAGTGGAAAAACTATTTAGCAGTTGCTTTGACCACAATCAAATACAATAACATTACAGTCAGCAGTTTGTGCAGAATTAAGCAGGTAAGTAATAAATATGCTTTATCAATAACAGAATGATCCATCAATCATAACAGTAAACCATTAACCAGTGCTTATATTCTATAGACTTAACAGTTTGCATTACCTGGGGAATCCTATTTTTTCCAAGATGTAAGAAGCCCCTCTGCCACATCGGCCACTCCCACCAATGATGAGTGTTTTAGGAAAAACTGAAGTAACACCTGAAATTGAAAGAAAAAATAAATGGATGTGAATAATATTCTTTATTACACAGTTCTTATATAATTCACGTTTTAAACACCCTTGAGTGAAAGTCACAGGGCAACATTACATGGCCTTACATCTCTGTACAGCCATGAAATGTACGATTCTTAGGATACCACACTGGAAAAAATATCAAGTGTAAACATTAATATAAGTATTATACCTCGTTTCTTTGCTACTGCTTGTAATTGATTTCTAAGGTGGTTGACAAGTGTTTCTTCAGAATGATATGGTGTGACACTTGGAAACTCTGTGTTTGGGCTACAAATTAAGGACAAAAACAAGAACATCAATTATAGACCTTTTAAGAAAAACTTGCAAATTTCTCATGCAGTGATTGGTTATTTTTTAATTAATAAGAGGACAGACAGATAAAGCTGACGTCAACGAGCGCGCACTCTTTCTGTTGGTTTWTTTGATCACTATAAAAATGAGAAGTTTTTATCATTGTTATTGTAAAAAACAGACATCCGTTTTATTTAGTATTTGAATCCACTCTACTTTAACAATGATGTGATGACGCAATTTAAGAGGTAAGACACATAAAAAACTGATGTCTATTTGTTAATTTTACGATACAGCAGCCATCTTGAATTCTATTGTCAATCAAGACATAACGGAATGCTAAGGGAGCAACTACTTTGAGTGAATGGAATGTTACCTTTAGTTCAAAAAAACAGAGAGTTCACGATATTCCGAATTTGAGATAGCAGCATAGGGGGACTGAAGCCCCCCTTCAGCAGAAAAAAAAACAAAACAAAACTGAAGAATTAGATGCTTTTTTTTATTGTTTTCGTTGCGTTGACGGAAGAAACTTAATTAGCCCCCCCCCCCTAAATGTTGGCTGGATCTGCCCTTGAGCAGGACAGAGATTACTGGGAATTAATCACACATCATCCTCTATTATGAAAACAAAAAAATAAGATCCCTGGTATCTATATATATAATAAGATATATTTATAATAAGATTTATGTCTGCACCACTGCATATCTGAGTAAACTTTAAACAATAATTAAAGAGTATATTTACTTGAGTTGTTGATGACACCATACCGCTACTCCAAGTGCACAGCCACAAAGCCCTGCCATTGGACCAAACTCTGCTACTTCACGAACACCTATTAATATGCAAGTAGTTTATGTTAGCAAACTGTATTTTGGTATGCTGTTTTATATAATTACTTGGGAACAACACTTGAGCAATTATTACAGTTTGAGTATAAGAAGATAATACAGCTACACACTCAATAAATTGCCTTCAAACAATTGTCCAGACATTTGGGTCAATACAATAAATACATAGAAACTGACCCAAATGCAACAGTTGTTTAAAGGCAATAGAGTTTAGCTTGTGATCTAATATCTACTATTGAATTCAGGAACRATAACAAAATATAAACAGCAGTGGCGAAGCTCAAACGGGTTGAACTGGAAGTATGTGAAGGTGCCCCTTGCAGCCACTATGCAGTCTATGACCTGGTAGCAGAGCCCTTACCAATTTAAATTTGTTAGGGTTGATTTYGAGAGCAGGGAGGAAAAGCTAGAGGACCGGAAAAACCAGAGAGAGAACCAACGAACTTGATCAGCTCACATGGGGGCGACTGGGATATAATCTAAATAATGTCAATAATACCCCATCTTTATCTCACATGCACCCCAATAATCAACACTAATGTAAAGCTATTTCAAAAAAAAAGGTTGCTGAAGGTTTTGTTGCATGTTGCATACCATGCATGCTGGAACTGTGCTTTATGCATTGTAAACACAATCAGCCAAAAGTAACAACAATATGGAATTTTGTCCAATGTCAGGCTGTTATTTTAAGCCCTTAATAATATTTATTTCAAGCTTATTAGTTAGCAACATGTAGCATGCAAGATACAACAAGTCCTTCACCAAAGTTTTAAAAGATTGTATGCCCTTTTAATTTTAGAAAAGGAAATTTATTTTACGGATGGTTTTATTACCTTGGTCATCGACGATATATTCCACATCAAGAAGCTCACCTCCACCAGAGTGAAACCTTGATAACAGTTCTCTCCAGCCATCTTGGCCCTGCACACGAACAAAACATACTTTAACAAAAGACACGGCACTCAAGTTTGTTAATAAAGAAAGAGATTATATAATGACAAAAGTTTTGTTGAATAAATCTTTAAGCTTGCTATAYATTCTTCTTACAAAACATTTAACAATACACTCATAATTATAACAGCAAATATTTTGTATGCATGACCAAAATATTCATTAGAACATGCTACAGCGCACTTATAATAGCAATTAATTCATATCCATGACCAAGATATTTGCCTAACATGCTTCAAAACACTTCCTATCTGTGACAGGGATTACCTTATAAGCATGACCGAAATATACATGTCTATGGATCAATGGTTCGTCACTATCCGGCAGTTCCTTTATTCCAATAATRTAAGCATCTTTTGGAGCACTTGGCCAAGATCCTTGTTCAACAATTTTACAACCAAGACTAAAGAGATATGAAGAGTAAATGAACTCATTTGTGCTATAAAGAGCACTACCATTAGCTCTGGAAAATATTGCTATTCCCTCTAATGAGCATAGGGGTAGGGTAGGGGTGGTGGTTAGATGATGTCTTAATACAAGCATTATTTCTCAATCGACACGGTTTTCTTTGTTATTCTCAAGGCTTTATTTTTGTTATAACTCTCATTATAAATGCGAGGTCAATATATAGTTAGTTATTAACCCTATTAATAACTAATATAGACTTCGCATTTATAATGAGCAACATTTGATAGAAAACCTTCTCAATTGCGAAATAAAATACTTAATAATTACCTCGGTAATTAGCTCTTACTTAGTCCTTCTTACCTCTCGTAGTCCTCAATAGGATAACAACGGTCTGCGGATTTTTCTACAACAACTTCATGTCCTAGAAACAAAAATAATTCTTATAACCTTCTACAAGCGATGGAAATTAGAATCGAGGGATGAAGCAGAGTTAAAGGGCCATGTTGGTCAGGTTCTTAACCTTTATATATTCAGTTATTTATCTTTCTTGAACTGCGAGGATAAWAAGGAAGAGTTTATTTAAGTTGTCATTAAATGTTTACGAAAACAAGATCAATAATAACGAGAATAATGAATAAGTACAAGTATAAGTTACCTGCATTAAGAAGATGTGAACAMGCGTTCGGAGTCAAAGGTGTTCGTCGTTCTTTCGGTTTACACTCAGCGCGAAGCCAAAACTTCATTCGATCGGCTTTYTGTTCAGGCATATCGTACAATATAATTCTCACAACTTAAATGATCGTCTTTTTTACAAATTGAATGTTTCGTAAAGAACTACTTTACAACGTGCATGCAATCTCTCTTATCACTTAGGGAGGCACTGACGCAACACGACTCATCAAACAGGTTTTGGCGCTAGGCATTAGCTGTGCACGTGAACTGTGATATTACTCAACACTTGTTTACAGCTAACCCTGTAAWATGTAAATTATGTTTTCTAAAAATAATTCTTATTAACAAGTTTCCTCATTAATCGTCGCAATCTAATTCAGCTGAAAAGGTGCTAGAATSGTCCTTAAATATAAATCAATGGTTTTCTTTATTATTTTTACGAGTTTTTATATGAGTCTGTGACGTCATATAAGACTTACTTAAAACCAAATCACCAAACAGCGCTTTTTGCATTTCTTTTTGTTTACACTCAACGGGAAACCAAAACTTTATTCGATCGGCTTCTCGTTSAGGCATATCGTACAATTACGAGCACCAATTTTTGGCAAAGAACTTCTTCAAAACGTGCGCTCTCTMTTGTACTTTACACAAGTCTTCTAGACTTATCAAACCCGAAAAACCGGTTAGTTAACTTAGCACGTGAACAGTGTGTCCGAGGGGCGTTCGACAAATCACGAACGTGACATTGTTATGTAAATTACTCCTGAATTACGAAATCCATAAATGAATTTAAGACTAAACGTAAAATTTAATTGCACCTATAATCATTTTTTTATTTAAATTACTTTATCTATTCTATTCAAGGTCTTTTTTACAWTAATTCTTATCATCGCCTAATAATCATTGGTTAAAGATTGTTCTTGATATTCCGATAGGAAGTATTCACTAATTTTCATATTTTTGCGAATTTTCATACTCCATACGCTCCATACATACATTTCTTTATATTTTGCGATCAGTCGGCAACTATTCGCTAGTTTCATACTCGTATTAAAAAAAAGATATATATATATACTTCTTACAGTGCTTAGCAAAAATTCTGCAAATAAAATCGATATATGAGGTGCATTCTGGGTAATTGTCAGCTCAAAAATCGCTTTATTCAAGGTTTAATATAACTTCTTGGTCAAATATAACCAAAGTGTATAGTATAAGCGGATTGATATAAGATATTTAGCTGACTTTTAGTTGAAAAATCACTGAATTTAAAGAATACATGAATATGCAAAGTAGTTCATACTGTATATGGATATATTTGAGCAAGGTCCTCAGCGCTAACTAAGAGACACGCAGCAGGCTCTGGGAACGAGATTGGGGTACCCTTGGCTATTCTCCTAYGCAGCCGCTATTAGTGTCGTCACGCAACGCTCACTACCCCTTGCGTGGCGGCTGTGAAGGAGACTACCGCGTGGCGCACGCGCACTTTTTACGTAAACAAACGTGCGAGCCGGCAAAACATTTTTGAGCTGTGTTTGAYTTCTATGAATAATCACACAATGTCTTCTGGGAATCAAAATCTTCTTGTTGTTGCCTCTCTTGCGGCAGCTGGGGCAGGACTCGCGGCTACTGTGTCAGGATGGTTCGATGGTTTCCTTGGTGATCAGGATTATAGTTCTAACGATGGAGGRCAAGTTGCGCAAGTTGCGCATGCCAGCGAACATTCTTTGCGAGAGATTCTAGAGGAACATCAGCGTCGTCAAACGCTCGTTTCGCGTTATGCAAAACTTGAAGTATGCAATGAATACAAAGATAAAGCAACCTTCTTCGGATTTACCCTCAAACATGCACTTAAAGATGGACTCTTGGAAAAAGAGGCGATTTCTAACAACATCGGTTTTGTAGCTGGAGACGGAGACGTTTACGCTTTATTTCCCAAAATTCTAAATCCCGTCATTGAATTCCTACACGGCGTTTATCCTAGAGTTAAATACACCAGCAGCATTGACGCAAGGAACTTTGATTGTGTAAACCTGGACCCAAAATATGTKGTATCTTGTCGTGTCCGAGTACTGCGGTCGCTACGAGGATTTCCCTTTGCTTGGAAATGCTCAGAGAAGGAAAGACRGGAGATTGAGGAAACAGCAGTAGAAATACTAAATAACATCCCAGGTAAGGATTTTAGCAAAGACACCMGTGTCAGTAGGTTTAAATCTCGATAGTTTTGGCTAGTATTGTATGACATCTAGCAAATGTTCTTCAATACGCGCTGCATTCAATGACTCAAACGCCAGCTACATCATATTAGCCATATTTTAGCGCTAGGCTCTAAAGTTTATATCTTGGATTGAGAAATTCCGTTTTCTTGTGTGATAAGTGCTTAGGCTCTGGAATTAAATTGCCTTAATTAAGTTTGCGAGGTCTTTATATATAGCGTATTGATTTTAATATCCTTTTGCGCTTATTCTGCCATCTAAGTCAACCATATTCAGATGATGTCATTTYGTTTCCATAGGGTACGGAACCTCAAATTACGTCAAGTTATCTGCGCTTGACAAACAGACCAGAGATCTCTTTCTTAGAAGGAACTATATATTCTATCCTYATATAAACGAGTCCGACCAGACATGGCCTTCAGGGCGTGGAATATACTACGGGGACCACGGAAGAGTAGTCGTACTCATCAATGAACAGGAACATCTAAAATTCATCTCACAGCAAACCGGAAGTGATGTCAAAATGGCGTTTAATAGATTACGTMACATTGTTGATATGGTAGAGCGATTGCTTTGGGAGAATGCCCATGACTTTTCCTTCGACGAGAAATATGGCCACCTGACGTCCAGTCCGCGGGAGATTGGAACTGGAYTTCGAATTAGCATGAACGTGAGACTGCCTCGTCTGAGCCAGGAGCCTCGTTTTGCTTTTATTTTGCGATTGCTGGCTTTAGAAAAGAGACAACCAGGTGAGTGGTTAGAAGTATCGTAGATTAACTTTGCCAAGGCTGTGAAAACTATTCAAAATGTTACTTACAAATTGCTGCGCAAAATGTTTGCGCATAAATAGAGTACAATACATCGCGCATTTGCACCGACAGGCTGTCGTTCCGTCCCARGATGAAATCGTTGCTTTTAAGGATTTTCACAACTTTAGCAATTTTTCTTGAAACAACTCTAAGAATTAAATAATGTGACTACGATTTTTGAAAGTCGTGAACAGAAGAGTCACACTTCGTTTTTAGCTTCGAACATTGCCAGTGGCGATTTAGACCTGTGGGCACGATACAATTATTTGCGCGCAGCACTGGAGAAGTAAATCTTGATTGAACTCGTGCAGTGTCACAACCAACTCTGTGTTACACCTGTCACTGCAAAGTGATGACAAAGTGGAAACGTTTGTTTCCTTCGTTTCAGGCAATTAAATCTTACATAATACATTACGAATCAGAATAAGAAAACCAAGATCGAAAGCATTTTTGTTCCATATGAAGTGAGGTATCTTAACTGCGCAATAAAAATGCACGCATTTGTACCTGTGTTGYCCGACAGCCTACGGTTGTCATTCCTCCAAGTCGCTATTAAATGCTAAATTTACTGTAACCTGAAATGGGGTCTATTGCTTTAAAGGAATTACGACTGGCTACGGTGTAATGGAGCTGTCTAACTCTACACGTACTGCGCACACAGAGGTATACAACTTTAACTATATCTATACTTGATTAAATTTTTTTTWAAAGTTTCCTTGCGTCTTCAGGATGTTTCCCTTCTTTTGATTATTTTTTATAGTTTTTGGACTTCCGCACACACTAAATCGTTTAAAGGGATCCTTGAAATATTTCTCCAAAGCAGACCATATGCCATTCCCTTTAGTACGATCCCTTTGTGTATCAAAAGTGATTAAAATACAAAGAATTCCCAAAAATTATAAACAAAAATAAATATTAATATAAATAGAACATGAATGAAAACATTAAAGGTCTATCAGAGGAGAAGAAAGTAAGATTACCATTTTGGGTTACCTGTTGTGTATATAGACCCCTTGCATTGAATTCCTAGACGAATTGTTCTGGGGGACAAAACAATAGGCCGTCTTTTCTTATGCCAAAAATAAAAAAATAAAAAATAAAAATTCATCGTTTTATCCCCCAAAACAAATCCTCGAGGGACTCAGTGGAAGGTGTCAATATTTCATTGCCTTTTTTCCCAGGTTGATTTTATCAAACATGTRAACAGCAGTATTTATCATCTTATCGCCATGGAGAAACTTTTGGAAGACGTTCACGTGATTGATCCTGTGCTTTGCGCAATTATTAGGGATAACATTAATTATCTATTCAAGGGAACAAATTAACATTACGTAAATTTTAATGTGTAATAATATTAATAGTAGAAACGTTCGTAATGATATAATATGGTATAGGAAGTATAATAAAAGAAAAAAAGCATATTAGCAGACAGTAACGTGAGTAAATATTAGCCATTCCGAGGTTGAGTAAAAGACTGGATCCAGTTGGCATTGAAGTGCATTATGGGGCTGATTTAGGGCACATATTCCAAGATGGCGTCCATTTTTGTCCCCAAAAACAGCCCCACAATGCACTGCAMTGCCAACTTTATCTTATAATAAATGGGTATATTCCCAAACTTTTCACATAAAGAGAGTCTGCTCTCTCTTTAGGGTCTGACTGTAGYATAGTAGCAGATCGATAATGCAAATTATATAAAATGCTAGAATATATCATGGTTTAAATAATATACACCTTATAAAATGTATATAGTATATTGAGCACCGGTATATGAACGACGGAGGCGAATGATTTTCTGTTATGATTTGCCTAAAGCTTAAACATGACTTTTGAATAAATAGAAAGCGCGCGCACGTGCTGTGTGCAATAATAAAGCACGCGGGGATTGGCAGAACACGAGAGAAGTGTTAGGAGAAGCACGACGCGTAGCGGAGTGCTCCTCGATACTTCTCGAGTGTTCTGCCAATCCCCAAGTGCTTTATAACTCTACACAGCACAGCAAGCATTTATTTCTTTTAATGCAAAGGGCGCGTGCGTGTAGTGTGCTCTAATAAAGCACGCGCTCCCAGCCAATCAGAATGCGAGATTTATAACAATTATTTCATAATATGCAATAAATACGTKGCACATAGAGGTTTTCGGCTTGGGCGTAATGTTTTCCATTTAAGACCACATGTTATTCAGTCCCTAGAGTATCACTTCTTCGTTTGACGGCTGCTCATGAGAACACACATGAATATGGATACAACTGAAACAATGAATCTTATTATCAAGAGAATGACACGTGGTCTGAAATGGRAACCACTACGCCCGAGCCCAAAAGGTATATTGTCCCTCGAAACTGCGACACCAGAAATCGCATTTCCAAGATCCTCATTTTCAAAATGTTCAGAGTGGCCGGGGCATTTTCCCGAACTCACTTTGTTCCGCGGTTCTTGATATGGATATAGAGAGTATACATTATAAAGAGCATGCTTTAGAAGTGCAGAAGGTATATGACAAGTATACGGGCAAACTKTACAAAAGAGTATAACAGTTATGCCAACCAGTCGTAGGGTTTACAAGTGCATACGGTATGTAGAGGATAATATATACCTAATTCAAAAAAACGTTGTCATCGCCAAAGGCGATAGGCAATATACGATAGGCGAAAAGCGATAGGATATATGTCATTCCAAGATCCAAGAATAGCTGGCATGACTTGTGTTTCTTCTTCTTMTTCTCGTCAAAGTATGGACCTTAGTGCTGAGACTGATTCGATGTTCTTTGTATTCAACAATACCATTTCCATGTCGAAAAAACGTTTTTTGAATTAGGTGTATATGCGGATATATGCGGTAAACTTAGTCAAAAGTCCAAACCAACCCTTGTTTCTTGGGATATCACTAAAAGCCAGTCAACAATCGCCATCTTCAAGAACTTCTGACAAGACTGTTTGAAACAACGCCCTAGTGATGACAAACGAGTAAGACGTAGAAGTAGACGACAGTTCACTGATGTTATCAACCTTTMCCGTACCTGGAGCTCTATTCTGTTGTTTCTGTTCACTCTTGGTCCCCTTAGTAGTTCCTCGGTTTCTCTGTGACGCAATGCAACCAGAAATGACGTCAGAATCTTTAATGCACAGCTTAAGGAAAGCCTTCCGATAATCCCTGCTTCGGAGGCCGTAAATAACGGGATTGATTAGTGTGTTGGTGAAAGACAGAAACAGGATGGCTTGAGACGCTGTTGGTTCCAGACCATAATAAGCTTGTCGTAGGAGYATCACGATGATTGGAAGATAACACAAGATAAACGCGCCAACCGTAATGCCTGTAAAAAGAAAAGATAAARAGTGAAGGAAGACTGGTAACGACTTCGTGGTGCATAGGATTGTGGGGCTGAATTATTGTGCGAGATCAAAAAGCA